GAGGAAATTGAGGTACAGAGAGGTGACTTTTCCAAGGTTGTGCATTAGTATGTAGTGGCACCAGGATTTGAATCAAGGCCATCTGGCTTAACTTGAATGGAGGCTGAGATCTGCCTCCCATCTAGAGCAAATTAACAAATCCCAGATAATGATTCGTTTATTCATTTATACAATTCCGATAAGCCAAGGTGGAAATATAAAACAAAAATTCCTACCCTCATAGAGCTTACATTCCAGTGGGAAAACAAGAACAATAAACTGCCATATGAGCAACTTCTCTGGTACATGAGATAGTGATAAACCACTGCTTCTGGTATTTGGGACAGAGATATACCAGAGAAATGGAGGGAGAAAGAGTGAGGGGGAAGAGATTATTGCAGTTTTATTTATTTTTGTTTTGTTTTGTTTTTTTAAAGATTTTGTTTATTTTTGCAAGAGAGAGAGAATGAGCATGAGCAGAGGGAGAAGCAGACTCCCCGCTGAGCAGGGAGCCCAATGTGGGACTCAATCCCAGGACCCTGGGATCATGACCTGAGCCAGAGGCAGACACTTAACCAACTGAGCCACCTAAGCGCCCGATTATTGCAGTTTTAAACAGAGCACCTACCATGTGACATATTCATTATTTTTCTCACCCACCCACCCAGAACATTGGCTCCCTAAGGGCAAGGATTTTGTCTTATATCCCAGAACTTGGTGTCTAATGTGTAGTTGATGCTCAAAAAATACCTAATGGATAAATGAATGAATATAGACAGAGATGGTCTTTGCCCTCGCGAGGTTTACACTCTCAGGGAAAAGACCAACAGCAAACATGCAAAATATGTCATCACAATCCAAGACATGCAGTCTAAAGAAAATGGAAGGAATGTTGTGATAAATAATTAGGGGGGATCCTGAGTTAAGGAGATCCGAGAGGGATTTCCTGAGTAAAGGATGTGGTAGTATTTGAGCTGGGACCTGAAGTAAAAGAAGGAACCAGCAAATCCGTGGGGAGGGACACTCTGGCCAGAGGGGACAGCCTGTGCAAAAGCAGGAGTTGGTGCATTTGAGGAACAGCCAGGCCAGGGTGGCTGGAATGGAGTGGGGAGGAAGGGAAGCCAGATTCAGCTGGAGAGGCAGGCAGGATCTGTGGGGCTTGCAGGGCACTATGGGGCTTTGGGTTAAACCCTAAGAGCAGTAAGAAACTATTGGAGCCTTATACAGAAGAGTAAAATCACTTTTTTTTTTTTTTAAGTCTTCAGATGAGCCAAGTGGAGAACAGACTGTGGAATCAGAGGGACCCAGGGGCAGATGGGTCTAACTCGTAGGCAGGGACACTGGCCAGAGCCTAGGACTTCAAAGTCTGTGTAGGCCCTCCCTGTGCACTGCCCCCACTGCAGGCTGGCTCCTCACCAAGGGTGGCACAAGTGAGGTTGGCCTGGGCCTGGAGGAGGCAGGGTGGAAGGCTTCTGAGCTCTTGGTCCTCTTTCTTGTGAGCCCTGATGGGCAACATGCTGAGCTGGGGAAGTGGCCAAGGAGACAGGCAAGAACCAGAGGCAGAGAATTAGAGCAAGAAGTCAGAAGCCAGAAAAAGGTGATGGGGAAGAAACAGATGCTGGAGAGGGAAAAGACAAGAAGGACCAGCTAGAACAAGAAAGTCAAGGAGAGAAATCCAGTGAATAGAAGAAACAACCAAGGGTGATCCTGTTTGCAGAGGACTCTTGTGAGAGCTTCGTGGCAGGAGTTTACCACTGATTCTATTTTCCTGTATGTGGACACTGAGGCTCAGAAAGTATGCGGCACTTGTCCACTTATCCACAAAACTAGTAAATGGTGGGCCCAGGATTTAAACTTAGACCTGGCCAACTCCACAACCCTCTTGCTCTTCGTGCAGGGTAAGACTACAGGGCAGAGACTGTCATGGAGGGAGAAGGAGAACACGAGCAACAGGTGGACAGATGGACAGAGAACATTCTGCTTCACTTGAAAAAGATCACAGACTTCTAGAAGCCTTGAGTGGCCTGGTCTGACCTGCCCAAATCTAGGGGTAAAGGAGACAGCACCACAGACAGGGCCAGGCCGTGAGGAAATTCAATTACTTTCAACTCATGGAATATTTATGACACCTACCCTGGGCCAGGCCCCATATTGGGTGCTGGTGTCATGGAGAGGTGCCAAACATGACCCACTTTTGCCCAGAAGGGGAAGTGGACACATAAATAAATAAGGGACTGTGTCTTAAAGGCCATAACACCAATTCAGAGAAAACACAAAGGCAGCAAAGATTGACTCAGCCTAGGGAGTTGGAAGACAACATCAAAGAAATGACATCTGAACCTGGAGTTTCCCAGGTAGGTAAGTCCGGAAGAGCACTTCAGGCAGAAGCAACCTGAATGAAGGCACAAGACATGGATTTGCTCGGAGGGGTGGGTATCAGGTGCTGTTGGATCATGGGCTACACACAGTCTTACAGCAGGAGATTAAAACAGTGTAGGATGCAGAGTGCAGAGGGTAATGAAAACTGGACTTGAACCCCTCAACCAGTAGTTCTCCAACAATGCCCCTGAGAAAACATGGGTGCTCCTCAAGCTAAGCTGAGGGGTTCTGCCACTGAATTAAAACTATAGCCATCTTTTTCTAACTTGCAAGAAGGTAACTTAATTACATTGAATAGAATTTTCTTTGTTTTACAGTGCTTTTCCTCCATGCACTTTTAGCACGGGGCAGTTGTGCGAGAGAATAATAGAGTTAGTATAGAATCACAGTTTCATTTTGTTTTGTTTTTTACAGTTTTAAGTTTAACATGTCAATAGTTCATGGTGTTCTACAAAGAACTGTGACTTCTGGATCTAAGTAATGGGGAGTCACAGAAGGACTTTAAGCAAGGAAAAGACAAAATCTGATCTTTCTGTTTTAAAAAAAAATCATTCTGGAGGTGTCTGGCTGGTTTAGTCGGTAGAGCATGCGACTCTTGATCTCAAGGTTATAAGTTCCAGCCCCACATTAGGTGTAGAGCTTACTTAAAAATAAAATATTTTTTAAAAAATCATTCTGGAGGCCTGAGAAAGAAGGAAATCAGAGGGAAAGAGATGGGAGAGGATTTCAGCTAGGAAGAAGGCTGCTGACACAGTTGATGTCCTGGACTGAAAGTGGGGGCTATTGGGATGAACAGGGGAATTAAGTCCAGCCTCCAGGAGGAAGACCTACTAGATGATTCTCCAGGCTTTCCAGCCAGGCTGTCCAGGGAATTCAGAGGAGCCAATCTGGTAGAGAAGGTAATGTCAACAGCCTAATGTCACCTAGAGAGTCTTCAGCAGAAGTAGATCTGTGAAAACAGAAGGCAAGCAAAACTGGGTATTTGTGTGTGTGTGTGTGTGTGTGTGTGTGCACATGCACATGGGCACTCACATACAAGTGTGTGTGAATCTTTCCCCCATCATGGGACATCTACTTTTTCTAATAATAAGAACAAGTATAAACATTTTTCAGCACATAGTATGAGCCAGACCCTAGTCTGGATGTTTTACATATGATATTTCCCATTTAATCATCACAATAACCTAATAACATTTATCAAATGCTTTAATGTGCCAAGCATTGTGCTAAATGCTTTAAGTGAATAATAGCTCACTTGATTTTCACAACAGCCTTGAAACAAATACCATTATTTCCTTCATTTTAAGGATAAGGAAATGGAGGCCCAGAGAGGCCAAGTGACTTGTCCAAAATCAAATGGCTGGAAAAATGGCAGAGCCAAGACTCAAAGCCAGTTTTGCCAAAATCCAGCCACCTGCAGCTTTCATCAGAGCACTTTGCTTTCTTCTCCTCAGAGAAAAGGCTTTGAGCTGCCAGTCTTTGGGTCAATAAAATCTAGAGAAAGGAACTCTTAATCTTCAAAGCCCTGACTCAGTGTTTGTCTAAGCCTGTTTCCTGGGCCACCTGCATCAGAATATTCTTGAAAGCTTGTAGGAATTGTAGAGTCCTGGACCTGTCCCCCAAATTCTAATTCAGTTGGCTTGAGATGGGACCTCAGGTGTTTATGCACACTGAAGATTTTGAGTGGGACAGGCTCCAACAGCACCTCTTGCAAGAACCCCCATCTCCACCTGGGCTCCTTCCAGAGCAACTTTCTCCTTCAGACTCCAACAGTGCCCTCTGTCCTATTCTACCAACTAGGGTTTTAGCTATGTTCATGTCTCACCTCCACTAAAAATATGATCTAGTGTCTTTACTGGGCTACATCTTCTTACAAAGCACTTCCATTGTCCTATTAAATCCCTTCTACAAAAAAAATAAAAATAAAAATAAATAAATCCCTTCTACACTGTAAGCATTTTGAGAGGGGGCCCTCCTCCTTGTGATCCCTCCTTTATATCTGAACACACTTAGCATTTTACAGTGTGCTCTTCTGTCCACAACATTATTCTATTGTTTCATCCAATCCTCACCACAATCTTGAAGGAGGTATATTGTCCCCCAACTGTACCCATGAGAAAAGAGCCTGGGAGCTTCAGACACCAGCCCAAGGTGGCCAAGCTAGGAAGCAGCAGGACTAGGAGTTGAACCTAAATCCAAGCCCAGTACTCTTGCCTCCACATCAACTTAAATCTACTCTATGCAGTGGTAGGGAAGTAAACTTTACCTCCCTATGCTGTTACAGGATAGCAGGGAATAAATGAGGTGATGTCTTAAAAGGTCTGGCACAGTGAGCACTCAATAAACGGCGGGGAGAAGAAAAAACTAAGGTCAGGGAAGGGTAAATGACTTCCCCCAAATCAAACACCAAATCGCAGACTGTAGACACAAATCTAGGCCGGTCTCAGACGCTCCTACTCTGAGTCTCCGCGATTCCCTCGCGTACTTCCAACCCCCTCATCTCACGCCCCGCCCCGCGCAGTCTCCCGAAGCGCCACCGCGCGGGCTGCGGAGGAAGGGGACGACCTTTTAAAAAAGAGCAAGGGGCGTGCTCACGCGACGGGGCGGGGCGGGAGGCGCGGCGCAGACGCGCAGACGCAGGCCGATGACGTAGGCGCGCTGTCGGGCTCTGAGCTGTCTGGGGGAGCATGTGGGGCTGCGGCGCGCTGCTGGGGGCGCGAGCCGGGTCGCGGCTGCGGTGCGAGCTGTTCCTCGCTTGGGACCGCGGCTGGTCTGCCGCCGCCCCCTACTCCGCATCTGCCGAGCCCTCCCGGGTCCGGGCGCTGGTCTATGGGCACCACGGGGACCCAGCCAAGGTCGTCGAGTAAGAGACGGCGCCGAAATGGGGCCAGGGGTTCCTGGAGGGGGTTAAGACGCGCTTTTGGAGAAGGGGGTCTGACAAAGGAGGGAGCGGGTAGAGGAAGAAGGCAGGGAATGATCGGACCCAAACTGAGCCCAGGGCGCATTGAGTAGCTCAGAAAGTCGGTTCTTCCAGGTAGTTGAAGGCCGGAGAGGCACAATTAATGACGGTAATAGTGGCTAACTTTTTTTTTTTTTTTTTTTGAGGTACAGTTGACATGCAGTATTATATTAGATTTAGGTGTACAACATGATGACTCGATATTTGTATATATTGCGAAATGATTGCCACAGTAAGTCCAGTTAGTATCTGTCACCATACATAGATACAGAATTTTTTTTCTCTTGATGAGAACTTTCGAGATCTACTCTCTTAGCAACTCTCAAACATACAGTACAGTATTACTAACTGTAATTGCCAAGCTGTACGTTAGGTCCCCATGATTTGCTTATTTTATGACAGGAAGTTTGTACCTTTTGACTCCCTTCACCCATTTGGTGCCTATGTGACAGACAAACACACACACACCCCTGAGCACCAGTCTGTTCTCTGTGTCTATGAGGTTGGGTTTTTTTGTTGTTGTTGTTTAGATTACACATGGAAGTGAGATCATTCAGTATTGGTCTTTCTCTGACTTACTTAATGTATCATAATGCTCTCAGCGTCCATCCGTTGTCTCAAGTGGCAAGATTTCATTCTTTATTATGGCTGAATAATATTCCATTATTTTATATATCTAATATATAACATTATTATGGACATTATTCCACTGCTTTATATATATATATATATGCCATTATACATGTGTATACCACATTTTCTTTATCCATTTATCCTTCAATGACTTTTACTGACCGGGTATTATGTGTCAGGCACATAACGGATGTGTCCAAATGGATGCTCTCATTTAATCGTCACTTTTGGGGAAGGTACTTGATTTAGCCCCATTTTGTCAGTGAGAAAACTGAGGTGTAAGAGGGGTAAAATCACTTGTCCAAGGTCACATAGCCAGTTAGTGGCAGAGTCGAAATTTAAACCGAGGTCTTACTGATTTGCCTGAGTTCCTGGGCTCTATTACTATTTTTTTTTTTTTTTAGAGTATTTTCTGAATGCTTTTATGTCCACTTGAATCTTCACTTCCCAGAAAGTAGGTGGGAGACCACTGTTTTCAGTTTGCAGAAGACAAGACAGGACTTGTCCAAAGTGATATAGCTAATAAGGATTAGAACAGGGATAGGAACCCATAGCTTCTACTCCTATCTCATGTGATTTCTTCTCTATCACACTATGTATGTGCCTTTAGCCAGTTAAAAAGAGTTTCTGTTTTGGAGCCTTACAGACCTAAGGTCTAATACGGACTCTACTTCTTAGTAGCTGTTTGATCTTAGACAAGTCACTCAGTCCCTCTGAGCCCTCATTACTTTTATGAATATGTTCTCCTAAAATTCTGTTGGATCTTAATCCATGATTTTTGCATGTGGTTGATAAAAACAGTATGTGAATTATCAGCCATTATAAATCTGCACATAAGTGACTGTAACCATTCAGAAGGGCTAGTGGGGTCACTGTAATGGAGCTAAGGCAGAAGCACTGGTCTGGGAATCAGACCTGGAGTCCAGTCCTTACTCCATCCTAGCTCTGTGTGTTTGGCAGGTTACTGAAGTTCTCTGAGCCTCAGTTACATCATTATAAATGTGGACACAGTACAGGTATAGTTATAGTTAATAGTGCTAAATAGCTGCAATCAATCTAATGCTCTCCACCAAAAAGCGCCTGCATACTCTCCTACAATCCCTTGTTTACAACTCTCTGATTCCCAGCAATTGGTTTGGTTGTTTTCCAAAGGATAGGCAAACGTGGAATTATTTTTATGGCCGAAATACAGGCCAGAGTGCTCTCTTCAGCAACACATATGCTAAAAGTAGAACGATACAAAGATTAGCATGGTCCCTGCTCACGCAAGGGATGACACGCAAATTCATGAGGCATTCCATATTTTTCCTTTAAAAAAAAATTCAAGCCAGATGTTTTGACAGCTGGAGGAGATAAGCCTCAGTTAAATTCAGGGTCATGCACTCACCCTAGCCACATCCACCATGAGAAAATATTGAGAAGACACATCAGTCAGTAACTCTCAACTTGTATGTTAATCATAGGTAATGATCACTGTGTCAGGAAGACCTGTCCCTGAGGACTGTGCTGTAATGAGTTGGTAAAGCTCTGATGAACACCATTTTCCAGGAATGCACCCCAAACAGGAACGATGTGGTGCCTCTCACAGGCTTCTACTTGGTTGGTAAAGGAACTGACACAAAACAAGTGCTCCAAAAATGTTAATTATGAATCTAATTTCTATAAGAAGTGTTTTGTTTTGTTTTGTTTTTATTGAGTTCTGTGGTGATGAGGATGGGACCCTTTGGAAAGGCCTGGGAAGGTTAGGCAGCTGAGTGCAGTTGCCTCCTGATTCGTTCCCTCCTCTTGGAGAGCCAGGGAATCTGGAACAGACTGGTCTGGTAGCAGATGCCACTTAGAGAAAAAAGAAAGCTCTCATCTCCTTGTGTGGAGCCCTAGTAATTTCCCAGAAGTTCAAAACATGATACTTTCATGCAGTATTTCTCAACCTTGGCTTCACACCACGGTCACCTATGGCACTTTTATTCCATATTCCCAGACGCCTCCCCTGAGGTATTTAGTAGGTCTAGGATGGCCCCGAACATCTGTGTTTTTTTAAACTCCCCAAGTGATTCTGATGCCCTGACCAGGGTTGAGAACCACTGCCCTTGTGGATACAGACTGTTAGGCAGGAAGTAATTCTCCCTCTGCCCCAGAAGAGTGGCTTACCCTTCTGACCCAGATTCAGGCAACTTGACTTATTCGTGTATGGACTGAAGCCAGAGGCTGGGATTCTCTTCTTTGTAGTCATGTCTTTGGAGGTTTAGGGTAACCACACTGTCACAGAAAGAATCAGGTGTCCTTTAAATATGCCGGTGACTGGGTGTGTGGGTCAGGTTACACCAGGCAGGGCCATGGAACCACTCAGAGCCTGAGCAGAGTGTTCCCCAAACCGGCAGAGTTTGTGGTGCTTGCACTGTGAAAAGCAGGGAGGAAACGAGGAAAAGTCTGCTCGGGTCTGAGGGGTTGCAGAACTCCTCAGAATGAGACTTCCAGGGATCTCTGAATGTTCTTCTCTTCATTCCTGTTGGCCCCCAAACATTCCAGCTGGTCTGTTAAGCCTTGTTCCCCCAGCCCCTAGAGCTTTTTTCTCTTCCCCCCAAAATGAATTTGCCAAATAAGCACTTGGGCCTTTTTCATTTAAAGGTTTGAACGACTGCTCTAAATGAAGTAAGACTGCAGGAGAAAATGACAAACTTGGGAGAATTACAAGCCCTAGAAATTTCAGGGGTCCCCATGCCCATAGCCCTTGTGCAGAGTTCTGGATTCTCTATCAGATAGTTCCTGGAAACTCCAATGTCCTCTTTCCTTTTGTTCCTGAAAGTCCCCTTTCAGAACTTTGCCATTCTCTGGGTCTTATGGTAAAGACAGCTTTCATTTACTGTGCCCCTACTATATGGCAGGCATGGGGCTAAGTTCTCCACATATATTACGGAATTTAAAAATCACAAAAAATCCAGTTTGGTCATTATTATCCCCATTTTACAGATACAGGAACTGAGGCTTAAGAAGCTTGAAAGTCACTTGCCCAAGATCATACAACTAGGAAGTCCCTTCTTTAATAAAAGTCCTTGATATAGACCTGAAGAAACAATGACAATCATCTCAAATGTTTTTTTGAGAATGAGATGGCATATAAAATGGGGAAGAAGATAGGTCAGAAGAGAAGGGGAAATTATAAGCCATTCAGGTGACCCCAAATCTTTATCCTTCATAGGAAGGGCAGCCCCACCCTGGGGAAGATGGTAGGAATGTTATTCTCTTTCTGATCCCCTTTTCAAGATCCTGAAGCTTTGATAAAATAGCATCCTGGTCATCACGGCTTTCTCACCTGCATGCTGCTAGCACAAAATGAAATGAAGCTGTGAAACCCTTGGACAAACCCATTCTGTCTTAGCCAGATGGGATTTGGGGGAACAGGTAGGGAGGACCCAGGCTGTATGGGGTGTGAGTCCTCACTGTAGGACACTGTTTACTCTCAGGGGACTTCTTTTTCCGGTTGATGTCAGTGTTTACAACCAAAACTCTATGCAGGTGACTTGGTTTTTAAACCAGAATTGTGATGCTTGGGGAAAAAAACCAGGATTTTGGTTTGGCACTCAGTTGAGAATTTGGATTTTGTTCATTTGTCTCCTAGAGCCCTTCATTATGGTCATTAGTTGAAGGAGGAGGGAACAGAACTCATTGATTTAGTAAGTTAGCCAGGAGTTATTCTTGGAGGGCCTACTATGTGCAAGGCAAGGCTGGGGATGCAAAGGTGAATAATCTGAGGTCTTTGCCCTTAAGGTACTCACACCTGAGTCCAGGAGATGGGTGACTATAGCCCAGTGAGACAAGTGCCATGTCAGGATATGTTTAGACTGCTGTGGACACCCAGAAGAGGGGTATCTAAACCCCTCAGAATAGTCAGAATGCCTTCTCTGAAGGCACAAGGTCTAGATTGAGTCCCGTAGAAGATCAGGTGTGCAGTATATGAGGAAAAGTGTAGAAGTGTTCCAAGCAGAGGCCCCTGCACGTGTAAAAGCCCAGAGGGAAGAGAAAACCTGGTGTGTCTGATTAGCGAATATTTATTGAGGGCTTACCATGCACTCAGTACGTGATCCTTGAAGGAGGTGTCAGCTGCATCAGGCTCTGAGGGGACTAGCTTGAGATCACAGAACTCAGACTCAAGCTGGACTCCACATCCTGTAACACCTGTGTATTACCTTCCCTCTGGACTTCACACTAAGCTGTGACTTGAGGGCCAAAACCCTGAGGGTGATACTCTGAAGTATCGTACACCAGCAGGAGTTTCCCTTATGTACGGAGTGTGGGAGGAGAGCTGCCCCCCGACCAGTGCAACCCCAAGTTATTATGCTTGTCTGGCCCTCCTAGCAGCTGCTGCAGTTCTGTGGTGCGGCTCCAGGCCTTCCCCACTCTGGAGGGGGTGACAAGGGAAGCAAAAATGCCATGAGGTTACTCTGTGGCTCAGGATGTGTCAGCGGGGACCCACCCGCAAGGGCACTGGCCTGGGTTCTGGTCCCCACTCTGCCACTCATTGTTAGAGTGAGGAAGTCACTCCAGTCTCCAGGCTTTTCAGTTATTCTTTGAGAAAATGAAGGGGTTGACCAAGGTCAGCAGTGGTAAAGAAGGGCACACATGCTGTCTCTCCCCCCACCCCATCTTCTGTGGCAATGACAAACCATCAAGCTCTGTTTTCTCTGTAACTCAAAACCTATACACCTCTTAAACCCATTCTCCCCAAGAGACACTTTTTCCTGCCAAGGCAAAGTGAGGCCTTAACATCCTTCTCCACATAATCCTGCAGCCACGGGAATGGATATGAGACTGAATGCTCTTTGATCCAGCAGTTGTCCAGCTCTGAGAGCTGTGAAACTGAGTAGACATTGGACTGCCTGCCTGCCGGTGGTGGCTCTAGCAAACTCCAGGAAGCAGTGCTGCGACTAGAAATCAGGGATCCTGGATACAAAATTTGACCAAGGGCCCCCTTTGCTCCTGGTTGGTATCGTAATTAGCAGCCTGCCAGGCAAGGGATGCATGGTCATCTTTGTACCTGTCGAAGAGACAAAAGCAGCTGCAGACAGGGACTCGATCCCCCTGCTGTGGCCCAGTCTTGTTCTTTGGATCAACAAGTTTAGGTCTCAGCAAATGAAGGAGTAGACTCTGCAGCTCCCTTCAGGCACATTTCCTGCTGTCAGCAGCTGCAGAATATTATAGGGCTTACAAGCTTACTGGTAATCTTAATTGAGAGAAAGGGGATTGAGAAGGTAGAGAGAGGGTTTCTTTGCCAACCCTGTGTAGAAACTTCCAGAAGTTCCTCCAAGTCTAATTCCTTTCTGTTCAAAATGACTGTACTGAAGTGTCAGCAGTTCTGAATGATGAGAGGGCAAGATTACTTTGAGGCAGGGAAGCCAGAAGAGGCACAGGGAGGCAAGTGGGTATGCCTAGTACACCAAGAGACATGGAGTGTATGAGCTTGGCTCGGGGAAAGAGCTTTCCCTGAGAGCCCAGGCCTCCTTTAAAAGCCCCCTGCTGGGGGGGTGAGCTGTTACAAAGCTGCGAGCCAAAGAGCTTCATTCTTCCACAATTCCCAGTGTGCCCTGCTTATTAATTTATTAATCAGATCTCTGGACAATATACCCAGCATAGCAAGCATTTCAACAAACCACAGGACGCAGCTTGTTTGTGACCATGGGGATTGCAGACAGACTGGAGAGAGCCACATAAGATGTAGGTTACCTTCACCCAATGCCCTATGGTGGACACACATTCTTGGCTCTCTGTAATGAGCAGGGTGAGAAAGTCTCTGTGGCCCATGGCAGTCTCTCCCTGCTTATTCTTCCTGCTCAAAATGATACTGATCAATTTGAGGTGATTGAGTAGAAGATGCAAGATAAGTACAAATGGTGGCTAATTAAATGCAGAAGGCGGGAAAGAGATCTTCGCAGAGCTGGCCAGTGCCTGCCTTACATAGCAAATAGAATTGAGCCAGTCCCCAGAGTACTGGCCTCTTTTTCCCCCATCTCAAAAGGCTCTTTCTTCTGCCCGCTTTTGTCTCCCTTGTAGTTCATATGGCATCACAGGTGTACAGCCTTGGCCTCAAAGGAGCCATTGTGACCTTATCCAGTCTGGGATCTGTTGAGTGAAGACAGTGGCATCCCTCCGAGTTGCATGGCGCCATTACACTCACAGGGGAAGGCCGTGAACAGTCCCGGGGAAGTGACTTGAGATCTAGCCAGACTGTGTTTGGGTGCCTCATTTGCACTCCAGAACACAGCCACCGGTTCCTTTGGTGAGTTTTTTAAAAAAAGAAAGGAAGAAATTGCTA